ATAATAGTTGCATTTCCCAAAAAGAAATTAAAGTAAGAAAACTAACAAAAGTGACTGCCACTTGTTCGTTTTATTTTAACCGATATTAGCTAATGTTTCTGTGGGTCCATTTGTCAATATCAAATTAAACTTGTGGGTTAATTGGGTAGGCTCAGCGCGTAGTTTCTGTACACAATATTCCGTTAATTCAAGAGAACTTGTACCCAAAATTTTGTACAAGAAACAATTTTAAAAGAGGAGTCAATACTAAATAGTAAATACTCATTAAGTAATTTAATTTTATGTATTTATGACTTTAAATAATATTAAAATAGTTACTCATAATTTTTAAATTTAAAATTAATTTCAATATTTATTGTATCAGTAAATAATGACATAATTATTTAATTGTTAAGTTTTAATTAAAGTTTGTAATTTTATCAATTATGTTTTTACACAATATTACCTATACTTGTAATTAAAACTATTTTTTTTCATAATTATTTCATATATAACACGAGTATTAAACTAGTATATTGTAAGGGGAAAGATGCGTTTATTTTTTTTTTTTTTATAAATTACACTAAATATGATCGGTCATACACTCTTGATTGAAGTATGACCGGCTATACTTAGTGTAGTTTTAAGAATTTATAAACAAAAACTTTGTAAATATAACCTTCTCCGTATTGTATATCCTAAATATAAAGTATTTTAAACGTTTTCAAATAAAACTACATTATATTCATAAAGCGCAATGGAGGTGATAAATATATATATTTTAAGATATTTCAATTGATTTATCTCTTCGCAATTAATTTGATTTTGAGCGAATTTCGTGATTAAGACTTTAAACTCTTCTCAACGATTGGACATAAACATTGAATTTGAATTTTAGTGATTTACTATTACCATGCACTCAGTAGTCAAAATCAAGAAAAAGAAGTAGCTTAAAGTTCAAATACAATGTTTGGCGAATGTCTTCTAGAGTGAGAGCCACCTGAATCGGATATTATCAACAATAAAATAGTGCCACCAGGTTTGTCCAGCCCATAATATACATCCCACTGAAATTATTTACTCTTTTCAAAATATAAATCTCAAAATCCTTTTTCCCTTCTCTTAAAAGCCTTCAAACTTGTTCCTCCTCCTCTTCTTATATGTTGCGTTACATAAACAACATCATACATCACATTATTCAGTTCTTGCTAATGGAGTTAGAGCACCCCTTATCAGCCGAACCTTGCATAATATCTCAAACTCAAAGCAAGCTCACCAATGAGGTCAGTGTTTTGTCCAAAACAAGCATATCAGAAATATCTCATGACTTTTGCAACCACTCTGAGTCCTTTAAGATGCTAATCGAGATGGGACTTCCGTGTAATGAAACTCTGGACGAAAAGCTCTCGTGGTTGCGGTCCCAGATCATTGGTAACGATGCAGAGTTCGATTCTCCATTTGGAAGACGAAAACTTGTCTATGCTGATCACACTGCTTCAGGTCGCAGCCTTCACTACAATGAAAATTTCATCATCAATCATCTTCTTCCTTTCTATGGTATGTTATGTGACACATCATGCCTTAATCATCTTATACTATATGATTTGATAATATATGTGGGAGCATCTCTTTGAGCCGTGTTATTTCTTGTAAATATAGGTAATACTCACACTTGTGACAGTTACGTGGGAAGCAGGACAACAAAAATGCTACATGAAGCGACTGAGTACATTAAGAAATGCTTAGGTGGTGGAGAAGAAGATGCAATTATGTTCTGTGGCTCGGGCACAACTGCAGCCATCAAAAGGTTGCAAGAAGTAATGGGAATTGCTGTGCCCTCTATTGTGAGGGAAATGGTTTTGAATAGCCTCACCACACAAGAAAGATGGGTTGTTTTTGTTGGACCCCATGAGCACCATTCCAACCTCCTTTCATGGAGGCAGAGCTTGGCTGAAGTAGTAGAGATTGGCTTAGATGACAAGGGGTTGGTGGATGTGGAAGCTCTAAAGCTACAACTTGAGGCATACAAATATACCAACCGACCCATGTTGGGATCATTCTCAGCTTGTAGCAATGTCACTGGAATCTACTCAGATACACGAGCAATTGCTCAACTTCTTCACCAATACAAAGGCTTTGTATGCTTTGATTTCGCAGCAAGGTACTAAGAATTATGGGCATGTGTTTGAGTTTGTGTGTTATAATATTTGAAAAGTTGGTAATGGTTTTATTTGTTTGTATAGTGGTCCATATGTGGAGATAGAGATGAGATCAGGGGAGAGTGATGGGTATGATGCAGTGTTCCTCAGTCCACATAAGTTTCTGGGGGGTCCTGACTCTCCTGGAGTGCTTCTCATGAGCAAGAACCTCTACCAGTTAAGATCTTCACCACCATCAACTTGTGGAGGTGGAACTGTGACTTACGTCAATGGCTTCAATGAAAAGGTAAATCGCCATTCTCATGTTGGAAATTTTGAAAAATCATTCGTCCTGTTATGCCTGAATGAAAATCCAGAAAAAAAGTAGGTGCACTTTATAGCATATTGGAAGGTGGCTGCTGCAAATAGTGAGAAAATTTGGCTATTTTTATTGATAAGATTTGGTAACCCTTAAAAGGGGGAGAGAGATCTTTGAATTTTTCAGGGTAGGCTTCTGCATAGTGCTGTTGATTAGAATATGGGGTTTTAAGACAACCTACTACCTATGACATAAACCAAGAATATACATTAAGTAAGTAGAGATCAATGCATTTCAATATTTATTTTTAAATCATTTTCCCCTTCACCTTATTTTTATACAAATTTCATCAATCATCATCTACTCTGTGTCATCTATGCAGGATACATTATACTTGGATAACATAGAGGAAAGGGAAAATGGGGGAACCCCTCCAATAATCCAGACAGTGAGAGCAGCATTGGCATTTTGGGTGAAAGAGTACATCAGCTATGAAGAGATTGAAAAACGTGAACAACTGTACATTAGCAAGGCACTTAAGAGACTCATCTCGAACCCCAACATTGAAGTTCTTGGAAACTTAAGCACCAAGCGACAAGCTATATTGTCATTTGTCATCTACTCCACCACCAATTCTTCTTCATCTGGTTGGGGAAATGAATGGAGTGATGCTAACGAGGAAAATGAAGGGGAACTTAATTTGTGGGCAGAAACAGGTAACAAAAGAGGTAAACCACTTCATGGCCCTTTTGTTGCAACAATACTCAATGACCTCTTTGGCATCCAAGCTCGAGGGGGGTGTGCTTGTGCTGGACCTTATGGTCACCAATTGCTCAATATCAACAAATCTCAATCACTTGCTATTAGATCAGCAGTTCAAAAGGTGAATACTCATTCAGCATCCTTTTAACATATTATATTTTAAAATTCATTGTCAAACCATGCTTTTTTTTGAAATCAAATTTGTTTATTACTTTTGCATAGGGCCATATTGGAGTAAAACCTGGATGGACCCGAGTTAGTTTTCCTTATTACATGAGTGAAGAGGATTTTGAGTACATTTTGAGTGCCATTGAGTTTTTAGCTGTATATGGCCAACGGTTCTTTTCTCTGTATAGCTTCAATTTGAGAAATGGTAGCTGGAGAATGAAGATTGAAAAATTTGAGGCATTAACCAAGGAAGGCAATTGCAACTTACCTAGTCATTTGTTGGGAAAAACTCTAGAGGAAGTAAACATTGAAGTTAAACAAGTTGGGGTGGTGAGAATGAGAAGGAACGAATCATACTTTGATGCTGCTAAATGTATTGCTAGTAGCCTCCCCAAATTCCCTTCTCAGGGTATACTCCAGGAGGATGTGGATCCTAATATCCTCTCCTTTAGAGTTTGATTATTTTGTCAATACCAAACATTATTGGTTGATATACATATATTTTATTCCATATATTTCATCTACATTTCCTGGCACATTTCTACACTTGACATATAATTCTACCCCATATACTTAAGAATATCATAAAATTATGAAAGTAAAACAAAAATATATTATAAGTAGATGGGTAAAGTTTAAATTCTTCCCCTAAGAATAACTAAATTAAATTAAATTATATAATTAGATGGGTAAAGTATCAATCAACAAGTTAGTACGAATAACTATACTAATTTGCTGCGGTTCGGCAATGACTTGGCTTATGTGAATTAACACCCTTAATCGATTTCTATCAATTACCTAATTATCTGAGAAGAATAATTCACTGTGTTAATTTAATTTCCGAATTAGCGTCAGTTTCACTTTAATTGAGAATTAAGAATTGGAATGAAATAAAGTTGTGCCTTGTAGTACGTATGTTAAAGTTATGCGCATCTTGTTATCAAAAAAAAAAAAAAAAAAGTTATGCGCATCTTATTCTTAGTAGCATTCAATTTTATAATTTTTTTTGGGTGTAATATTCTTTTTTTTTTATACAAAAAAAAGACTATATATAAAGAATGGGAAAAATGTTTTTATTTTGTGTCATTTTATATTCTAATTGTTGATTTCTGTTAATCAAATATTAGAATTTACTCTATTTTATTGTGAATTATTAATTAATTAATAAGTTTGACCCAATAAATCCTAATTGTTGATTAATGGAAACAAAAAAATATTTCTGCAGTTACTGCAGATAAATTATTTGTATTTAGGGTTCGCTTTTTCTGCAGATAACTATATGACGTCATTTTGAGACAGAAATCATGATATTTTTATAATTATAATTATTTAATTTTTCAATCGTAAAATGACATTTTTTTGGGACTAAATACAGATAACTTATCTGCAGTAACGGCAGAAATATTGTTCTGATACTTAATATATAAAAGAAGGGAAAAATTATATTTACAAACTTTTTGTTTACAAACTATATTATGTCTGACCGGTCATACTTTGATTATAATTTGTAAACGGATCTATTCTAATAAAAAAATATAATAAATATATATTTTTTATATTTATTTATTTTATTTACAATTTTCATGTTATTCCCTTTAATGAACTTGGACCTCATCTTTGTCGTCTTTCTTACTCTGACAAAGTAACGACGACGACCACTACCGCACCGTTACCCCCTCAACCACCACCCTAAAACGCTGTCGTTTGAAACAAGCTGCGGAGATCCACTGTAACATTCGATTCGATTCGATTCCACGGTTTCGTACAGTTCAAAAGGATCAACCAGGTTCACATTTTCATCGCGCTCGAGCAATTTGGGTATCTTCATTTCTTCCAATTCAAAGTATGCGTTGCAATTTCTAGGGGAATTCCCCGATTGTTTCACCTGTAGCTTCAGTTTCTCGAGATATTAAAAGCGTAGATCGTTGCTCTGTTATTTTATTTGCATGACTGGTACAAGCGTTTCTGCTCAATATCTTGGTTCTCGGGTTCTGTAGTAGACGCCTGAAATAGACAATTGGCGAGTGCGGTCAAATCGATTTGTGGGAAGATTAGGGTTTTTGGCAAAGGTTTAAGGGATTTATTGGGTTTATATGAAAAGTGCAGCATTAGCATGCTCTAGTTGTTTTGAATTTGATCCAACTGAAATTAGGGTGTCCCTTTGTTGATGGTAGATTGAGGATGGTGAGGCTTCTAGGGTTCATTCGTGGTCTTGCAGATGAACCCCGGGAAATTGCGTCAAGGTCAAACCTGACCGGTGAGTCTAGTGAAAATGGGTGGCTCATCAGGTTCTTTGACTCGGCGTTCTTCTGTGAGTGGATTGCTGTTAGCTACTTGTACAAGCATGATCATGCTGGGGTGCGTGATTATCTCTGTAATAGAATGTACAGTCTTCCCTTGCAGGGGATCGAGAGTTATTTATTCCAAATATGTTACATGATGATACACAAGTCGAGTCCATCCTTGGATAAATATGTGATAGATGTGTGCTCAAAATCGCTTAAGATTGCTTTGAAGGTACATTGGTTCTTGATGGCAGAGCTTGAAGACTCTGAGGATAATGTAGGGATTAGTAGGATTCAGGAGAGGTGCCAGATGGCGGCAACCTTGACGGGCGAGTGGCCGCCTCTGATACAGCCTCAAACTGAACCTCCCAATCCTGGAGGGAAGAGCCAAGTTTTGAATAGGTTACTGTCGTCGAAAAATCGTTTGTTGTCACTAACATCCTCACCTCCTCAGAAGTCTTTATCATTTTCACCTTCAATGGGAAACAGTTTGCAGGAGGACAGCAACCCGCTGTCTCCTGATGAGAACAAGATATTTAAGAAGTTTATGCCAGGTCCAAAGGTTAGAGATGCTTTACTTTTTAGGAAGTCAGTGGACAAAGACGATGATGATTCTGAAAAGGATGGGTTTTTCAAGAGGCTTTTAAGAGATAGCAAAGGTGATGATGAGCTCGGCCCAAAAATTCGTGATGCATTTCTTTTTCGGAAGTCGTCTGAGAAAGATGATGAGGACTCTGAAAAAGATAATTTCCTTAAAAGGTTCTTAAGGGACAGCAAGGACAGTAGAGGTGACGATGAAGACTCTGTAAAGGATGGTTTCTTTCGGAGGATCTTAAGGGACAGTAGAGGCGAGGATGAGGATGTGACCTCAAGTTCAGAGGGGTTTTTCAAGAGGTTGTTTCGTGATAGTAAGAATGATTCTGAGGACAGAACACACCCTAAAACTATGGAAGATGAAGAGAAAGAGGGATTTTTTCGAAAGTTTTTCCGGGATAAGTTTGAAGATAGGAAGGATGGTAGTGATAGGAACAATAACAGAGATATTGCTAATACTGAAGAAAAATCTGCAAGACCTGCTGAAGAGGATGAAAGGGAAGGGTTTTTCCGGAAATTCTTTAAAGATAAATTTGAAGACAAGAAAGATACAAATGATAAAATTGAAGAGGGTACTTCCAATGGTGAGGAAGGTGAGCCTTCTGAGTTTTCCTTGTTCAAAAAACTATTTCGTGTGCACCCTGAAGATGCTAAAAGTAGTCCGGCCAATGAAAACAACATTAATGGTGGATTATTTGAAAGTAGTCCTGGCACAGAGAATTTTTTCCGTAAATTGTTCAAAGACCGTGACCGTTCAATTGAAGATTCAGAGCTATTGGGGTCAAAGAGACAGAAAGAGGTCTGTTGAATATTTGTTTATGAATTGGTTTATTTCTATGGTTGAATCAGGAATCTAAACCAAAAAAGTGTGAATGGAACCCATATATACAGAAACCTGATTATTTTTCTTTTTAATCATAAAAGTTGCTTAATGGTCCTCTGTGACTTCTGGATAGAAAGTCTGTTTTAAATTTAGACTCTGACCTTGCTTACATTTTTGTAAGAGCCACTTGATTGGCTGCCTGCCCTCTTCTCTCCCTCCCACCAAAATAATAATAATAATAATAATAAATAAAAATCCAACATTTCCCTTATTTTTTCAGTTGATTCCAGTTATATATAGTTTCGGACCCTGTAAAATTTTCCACTTTCTGTCAAGACCCATAAAGCTTTAATGTTTAAGTCCTAGCCCTTCTTCAAATTCCATATTGAACATTGGAACCTTGCATTGGCACTTAATTTGGTGTCGCTACAACTGGGTATTATTATGGGAAAGAATCAGTTAGTGCAACATAACCAAGTTGCATTTCCCTTTCTATCTATAGCTAACAGTAAAACCAACTTCTTTCCCATGGTTAACTACATAACTGGGCAGTTATCCTTGGCTACCATTCATATCATAAAAATTCGCATATCTTTTTCTACTCTTATTGACTTGATATATATTCTCTAGTGATAGGAATGCCTTATACTTATCTGTACTAGATTCAATCAATGCATTTTTATGAAATGATAATTGTTATGGTTAGAGATGTAATAGTCATTCATGAGTCTTCACCTAACAACTTAAGCTTTTAGGAGAGTTGGTCATTGACATGTCATCAGCACCTTTATGTTCAAGTGGTTAGGATTTCAATCCTTCCTGCCCCCGTTCTTCTAAATAAAAGTTGAATTTCATCACATTTTAAATATGGGCCTGGGTATTAATGGCTTATGAGTTAGAGGGCGTGTTAGAGATGTAGTAAAACCTTTCATGAGCTTTCATCTAATAATTTAATGCATTCTGAAATTTATTTTCATTTTCTCCTTTATGTTTTTTTTTTAATATTATATAAAGGGTAAAAAAAAAGGGTAATTTCCGTTGTTATGCCTCATTTGGGGGTTATCGTATTATTTTGGCAGAAGCATCCTGGATCCCCGAAGCAGCAAAGTGGAAAATCGAGCACAAAGCCCCCACTACCAATTAGTCCATCTCAGTTCCGGAAAGGGGCTTACCATGACTCATTGGAGTTTGTGCAGTCATTATGTGAGACATCATATGGGTTATTGGATGTATTTCCAATTGAAGATCGCAAAAGTGCTCTTCGTGAGGTCATTTCTTAAATTTTTCTTGGATGCTTTCTTCATCTAGTTGACATAGTTAAAGACGGAAATATGTTTGCATTCTATAAACGTGTTTGAACCTTTTCCATGCAATGATTTCTGATGCATTCTTTGTTATTCGTATGCTTCTAGTCGCTTGCAGAGATCAATATACATGTAACAGAGGCTCAGAACACTGGAGGTACTTCTTAACTATTATTTATATTATTTGAATGATGTTCAATTAAGGCAATGGATTTCTCTATTTTTCATATGTTTCAACTGAGCATGATAAATATTATTTCAAAAGAGTGTGGTTTGAAATTTTTTCAGTTGCAGTAATGCTGCCTTTCTTGGTTCAGAGTCAGAGGCTTTACATGTGTTTTTTCTTGTTCCTTTTGATATATAACAAAATAAATGGCTTGGGTGTCAAGCAACAGATTTTTTGTAGAAAAAATAGTGATATTTCCAATGCATCTGTCATTGATGTTGTTTTTCACTTCTCTAGGAATAAATGTTTAGAAATATCTTTTTGGTGTTTATTGACTGTACATTTCTAAGAGGATCTGCTGAGAAGTTTTTCTATTATGTGATTGCAATTGTTGGCTGTTTTTATTCCTTTCCTGTAAAGATATGTCCTTTTCATGTGTGCCAATTAAGTTACTGCATTTTCCGTTGCTTATGATAAGTAGACTCCACTTATCTTCTTGCTTCTATGTGAATCTTGCTTATCATATATTTCTAGGAGTTTGTTTTCCATTGGGAAAGGGCATGTATCGTGTGCTTCATATACCTGAAGATGAAGCTGTTCTCTTGAATTCTAGGGAGAAGGCACCTTTCCTGATCTGCGTAGAAGTTTTGAGATGCGAAATGCCAAGGTATTACTCGGATAAAATACTCCTCAGCATTGTTAAAAATAGTAGTTAGTAAGGCAAAAAGCATATTTTTGATATACTGCTCTGCCTGCAAATTGTTTGTTATAGCAATTCCAAGGAGACATCCAGTTCTCAGAAACTTTCTCAACGTGGAATTCCTTTGGCAAATGGAGATGCTTTCTTGCATAAACCACCCCCTTGGGCTTATCCATTATGGACAGCACAAGAGGAGTACCGTAATAGCAATGATAGGATGTCCAGATCAACTGCTGAAGCAATTGATCAGGCAATGACTCATGTATCCGAGGCAAAAATCAAATTTGTTAGTGTGAATCTTTCTGTGGAAACACAATTAAATGGTCAGCAAGAGAGGATTGAAGGGGCTGCTCTACATTGTGGCAGTTGGCATCCTGCTTCAATTTACAGCGAGAGTGTAGATGAAGTGGCTGAAGCAGGACATGACAATAATTTGGAATGGGTACAAGTTGTGTTGACAGTTGATCCTAGGGTTAGATTGGAAGATATTGAGGATCGAGCACCACCTCGGAGGAAGGAACATCGCCGCGTTCCAAGTACAGTGGCAATGGAGGAAGTAAAGGTGAGGCATTGAGTGGTTTTTTTACTGATATTGACTCTGCTATTCACATTACTTTTGTCTAAGCTTCTACTGATCTTTTTTTAGTCTTAATTTGGTGTCAGACATGGTAAAGAAGATCAGCCATGTTCCCTTAACAAATAACTTGTCATATATCTTTCTATTGACCTTGTTCCTTCCTCCAAGCATTGTACAACCCATAAAGGGCCCCTGGTACTATAGAGCTCCTCTATGCTTAGAGGCGGTAATACCCATTGTGTAGTTCTATATAGTAGGCAACCTTATCTTGTATTTGCAAGAGGTTGATTGCATGAATTGAACCTACAGCCTTCGAGTCACAGGGCGATAACATCAGCCATTGTGCCAAGGTTCCTCTTCTAAGCATTGTACAACCCATGATGAAAGAAATTAATTTTGTGGATTTTCATCAATTATTAGGTCAATACGGGTTGGTTTTTCTATGGTTATCAAAGTGTTCCCTTCACTTTAGAGTGCTGAAATCCATTTGTTTTTTCTTAGCAGTGTATGTTCAGTGATGACTATTACCCTTCACAATTCACGCTGGTTCTTATAGCCTATTCCAGTTAAAGCCTATTCCAGTTTCCCCTTAAACTTAAAGCATACCAGCAGACTTAAGTGTTTTTTTCTACTCTTCTCAACTCCACAAAAGATAAGAAAGTTTCCTTCACCTTTTCTGTGATATAAACAAATGATGGTTGTGAATTTGGATTTCTTAATACATCTTTCTTTTCCAGATCTTTGTTTGGCATTTCCCAGTTTGTGTTACAATTTATTTTTAAGCATTGTGATTACAATGAAGAAACAAATAACCACTTTGGTGGTTATTCAGTTCTAAATGAATAAACAAAATGGACTAATAGTGCATCAAAAAGATCCTTAATTGGAAGAATTTTTTTTTTTTCGTTATCAACATTTGAACCTTTGGTAGGCTGCGGCTGCAAAAGGTGAAGCACCTCTTGGACTCCCTTTGAAAGGTGCTGGTCAAGATTCATCAGATAATGAACCAAGGGTAAGAGATAATTGTTGAAGTTTAGATTTATTTAACCTTAGGAATGTGGAATTGTCATATATAACATGATTCCTCCTAACAGGCTAATGGAATTACTCCCAAAGCCAGTGATGCCTTGTCTGGTGAACTTTGGGAGGCAAAGAAAGATAGGGTGCGCAAGGCTTCCATAAATGGGAACTTACCTGGTTGGGACTTTCGATCTGTAAGTGAATGTTTTAAGCAAAAGAATATATATGTAGTTATTTACTTATTTTTGAAATTCATGAAGATATGAACTCGATATATAAATAAAAATGGTAATATTTATGCATAACAGAAAAAACAAATGCACCCAATCGCCTGATTATGTCTTACTATCTAATAGAAAATCTCACCATTTGCTACATTATAAACCTGTTTGTTTCCTTTCTAGATTTCTTTTGAAATATTGATTCAGAGTCAAAATCATGTTTATAAATGTGCATTGTAATTTCTGGTGGGGGGTTGAGAATGCTATACTGTTACACATCATGCTTTTTCTTACTTGAGGTTCGTGCATAGGATCGTGGGCAGAAAAATATTGCAGTCAAAGTATTTTCAAAATGGTTTTTACAATTGAACTTGAAAATTTGTACCTAGAAAAAAAACACCTGAAAATATTAAGGAAACAACAATATGAAACAATATTCACTTGCTTTGTGGTTAATACATAACATATTTTTAGATTGAGTGCTATTCTTATGAAATAGTTCCTTAATTTTTTTTTATGCTGTTATATTTTATGAAGGTAGGTCCAAGTTGCATATACTGTGGCAGAATTCACATAATAGATTCGGGAATGAAATATAAATAGTATTTAATAAATGATATTTTCACGCTGTGTCAAAATCTCCATTAGAATATATAAAAAAACAAAAATTTATTAACGTGATTCTGTAAATTAGGGTTGGCTTTTGTTTTATATTGTTTGCTTCTTTTCTTTTCTTTTTTCCAGAATATGTGTTTTATATCACAAATATTTTGAGCATGATGGTGCAATTTTCCCTTTTTCACATAGGTTATTGTAAAGAGTGGTGATGATTGCAGGCAGGAGCATCTGGCTGTTCAACTTATTTCTCACTTCTACGGTAGTTGGTCTTTCAGATCTTTTGTTTTCTCCCTTTATATTCAGAATTTAACCATTCTTTGCTCCTTTGTTGTTGTTTTTTTTTTTTTATCAATTGTTTTGTCTTTTGGTATTTGTTTTCCTCAACTCTCGTCTATATGAAGGTCAGATAATATGTATCTGTACTGGTTTGAACTCTATGTCTCTCTCCAAATTGAACAAGTGAAAGGTTTAATGAAGACTAAATTTTAACTTCAAACATTAGAACAGGTTTTACTTTAACTATACCTGAGAAATTTCAGTCTCCTTTCATTTTTCTCAATTTGATGGCAAAACAGGCCAATGTCAGTCATGTGAGGCTCTCTTCGTATAAGAATACTTGTGTGATTTATGTTTAAGTTCCGTTGTGGATGTGTACATTGAGAATTGCTAAATCTATTGTAGTTTTCAATGCAATAGTTGCAAACTAAAGTGGAAGTATGCACCAAAGCATGAATGAAGTTGTCTAGTGAACAAGTTGGATTGAATGCACCGAGGAGTTATTGATGACACATGATTGGATCTATTTTATTATGTTCTGATGCTAGTTTAAGCCAGGATGCAGACTGTTGTCTGCTTGTGTTTCATTACATGTTGCTTAAAATCATTGGCTTTTGATGCCAGATATATTTCAAGAAGCTGGACTACCACTCTGGCTGCGCCCTTATGAAGTTTTGTGTACTTCTTCTTATACAGCTCTAATTGAAACAATTCCAGATACGGTAATTCTGTGATCATTTCAAATGTATTGAAGTGTCCACGTTTCTCTTTTTATTATTAAAAATATTGGTGCTTTCTAGGCTTCTCTACATTCTATCAAAAGTAGATATCCCAACATCTCAAGTTTACGGGAATTCTTCAATGCTAAGTATCAAGAAAATTCCCCAAGTTTTAAACTTGCCCAGGTAATTTAGAGATGCAGATACAACTGAGTTATTGTAGACTGAACTTGTTCTTATGATTTGCTATGGCTTCTTAATTGAGCATTTGTTTCACCAGAATATATTATGTTTTGCTTTCTGTATCCCTTCCCCTTTCTCATTTGGCAATTTCACGTTTGTTTATATAGACAGCTAATACGTTTCCATTTGTTTTGTTTACTTTCATAGAAAGAAAAGATCTGTATAGAAATAGTTTTTTCCTATTAGTTTATCATTGGAGGATTTCTGAGCCTCCTTTGTTTGTGTGTCCATTCTTTCCTTATAACAAATCTTTATCTAAACAAAATATCAAAACAAGAGTACCCTAATTACACAATCAGGTAAAGGAAAATAGACCATTCGATAAATTTATTACTTATTGAAAAGAAGTTTTTGTATATTGATATTGAATAAATTACATGAGTGAGTATTTATACAAGAAAGAATCGCTAAGAATGACTAAGCGATGACTAATCAATCCTATCACAATCCTAATTAATAGGAAATAAAAACGGAAACATGTTTGAATTCTAATTTTCTACACTCCCCCTCAAGTTGGGAGGTAAATATTGATCATTCCCAACTTGCCAATCAAGTCTTCGAATGCTGGACGGTGTAGGCCCTTGGTAAGGACATCTGCCGTTTGCTCTTTGGTTGGAACATATATCAAATGCACACTTCCATCATCTAATTTTTCTTTGATGAAGTGACGATCAACTTCCACGTGCTTTGTTCGATCATGATGCACAGGATTTTGAGCAATGCTAACAGCTGCCTTGTTGTCACAATATAGTTTTATTGGTAGGGAATATGAAATCTTCAACTCTTGAAGAAGTCTTCTCAACCAGATTCCTTCACAAACTCCATGAGCTAAAGCTCGAAATTCTGCTTCAGCACTACTTCTTGCAACCACTGTTTGCTTTTTGCTTCTCCAAGTAACAAGATTTCCCCACACATAGGTGCAATAGCCTGAGGTAGATCTTCTGTCTACTGATGAGCCTGCCCAATCTGCATCAGTGTAGATTTCAATTGTCCTTTTATACCCCTTTTTAAAGAATAATCCTCTTCCTGGAGTATTCTTGAGGTATCTAAGCACCCTATAGACTGCACTAAGATGCTTCTCCTTGGGTGAGTGCATGAATTGACTAATCATACTCACCGCAAAGGCAATGTCAGGACGCGTATGAGATAAGTAGATTAGTTTACCAACCAATCGCTGATATTGTTCTTTATCCACCTCATTCCCATCTTCAATACCTAACTTGGTATTAGGTTCCACAGGTGTCTCAGCAGGTTTACACCCTAACATTCCTGTTTCTAACAAAAGATCTAGAACATATTTCTTTTGTGTTAGAGTGATGCCTGTTTTGCTCCTAGCAACTTCCATACCAAGGAAATATTTGAGAGTGCCAAGGTCTTTGAGTTCAAATTGAGCTGCTAGAAATTTCTTCAAGGTGTTCAATTCCTCAATATCATCACCTGTAAGAATTATATCATCTACATATACAATAAGAATAGCAATTTTACCATCCTTAGAGTGTTTGTGGAAGAGAGTATGATCAGTCTGTGCTTGAATGAAGCCTCTTCTTTTGACTGCTTGTGTGAATTTGTCGAACCATTCTCTGGGAGACTGTTTCAATCCATATAGAGACTTTTTTAGTTTACACACTGATTCATTTCCCCTTTCAAAACCAGGTGGAGGATCCATAAAGACTTCTTCATGTAAGTCACCATTTAGGAATGCATTCTTCACATCTAACTGTTGCAGAGGCCAATCTAGATTGGCAGCAAGAGATAAGAGAACTCGGATGGTATTGACTTTAGCAACCGGAGCAAAAGTCTCATGATAATCTATCCCATGAGTCTGAGTGAAACCCTTTGCAACCAATCTTGCCTTGTATCTGTTGATGCTATTATCTGCATTGAATTTTATTGTAAACACCCATTTGCATCCTACTGCCTTTTTTCCTTTGGGTAGGGTCACTATCTCCCAAGTTCCATTTCTTTCTAAAGCATTCATTTCTTCAAAGACAGCATCCCTCCATTTTTTATCATTGAGAGCCTCATGTATATTTCTCGGTATCTTTGTACTATCCAACATAGTATTGAAAGCACGAAACCCTGGGGACAACTTTCCATATGAAATATGATTAGAAATAGGATGAGTAGTACAAGATCGAGTACCTTTTCTGAGAGCAATGGGCAAGTGTAGATCATTTTCACCATGACACTCAAGTATTGGGGTGCTGGAACTAGAACATGGTTCAGAATCCTGGCAGTGTAGAGGCTCTGGGTTATTCACACTTTGAGGAGGCTTTCGCCAGCTATAAACTTGTCCCCATTTTGAGGAGGCTCCTGATGGTGAGGATTCTGTAGCTCCCCCTGTTTCCAAAAGTAGAGGTAATACTGTGGCATTAATAGGTTCCCATGACTGATCTTCATCTACTCCTATAGACTCCCCCTGAAGAGAAGTCGAGGGGAAGAAAGGGTCATTCTCAGAAAAAGTGACATCCATAGAGACAAAGACCTTACGAAGAGAGGGTGAATAACACTTATAGCCACGTTGAGTAGGAGAATAACCAATAAAGACACACTGGAGAGACTTAGGATCAAGCTTAGACCGTTGATGGGAGGGAATATGGACAAATACAACACAACCAAATAACTTGAGAGGTAAGGAGGAGACACCTCGGAAGGAAGGGAAGATACGAACAAGACTAGAAAGAGGAGACTGAAATTTCAGAATGCGAGATGGCATTCGATTTATCAGATACGAGGCAGTGAGAACTGCCTCTCCCCAAAGATATTTAGGAACACTCGTGGTAAACATAAGAGCCCGAGCAACTTCAAGGAGATGTCGGTTTTTTCTTTCCGCAACTCCGTTTTGTTGGGGTGTGTCAGGACACGAGCTTTGGTGAAGGATGCCATGTTGGGAAAGATATTCTCCAAGAATAGAGTTAAAATACTCTTTGCCATTATCTGTACGAAGAATTTGTATAGCAACTTGGAATTGGGTTTGAACCATGGCATGAAATTTTTTAAACACGGATGCAGCATCGGACTTATCCTTTAGAAGATACACCCAACAAACTCGAGAATGGTCATCAATGAAGGTAATGAACCATCGAGTACCTGAAATATTTTTAACACGGGCTGGACCCCATATGTCGCTATGAATTAAGGAAAATGGGGAAGAGTCATGGTGAACTTTAGAAGGATAATGAGCACGAGTATGCTTGGCAAGTTGACAAATATCACAAGAAAACAAACTTGGACTTTTATTAATAAATAAGTTTGGCAACAACTTCTGAAGATAAATAAAATTTGGATGGCCTAGCCTACGATGCCACAGCATAACATCATTACATGAATCAAAAGGAAACATAGAGTTTTTTTCTACGAAAACAGCTTCATGAGTCACATCCTCCTCAAAGTAGTAAAGTCCACCATCCTCTCTAGCACTGCCAATCATCCTCTCCGAGTCCTGTTCCTGAAAAACACAACCATGTGGAAAGAATTTAGCAAAGCAATGCAACTCAGAGGTGAGCTTGCTAATGGAAATGAGATTACAAGTCAGAGAAGGAACATAAAGAACTGATGTCAAAGTAATCAGCTCAGAAAGTTTAATGGTTCCGTGTCCCGCAATCTGGGAAAAACTGCCATCGGCGATCTTGACCCGAGAAGGTTCAAAATATGGAGTGTATGAACAAAACAAGCCAAGATTACCTGTCATATGATCAGAGGCTCCAGAATCAAGGATCCAATGATTTTGACTATCAACATGGAAAGTTGTACCTTGCTGGACCACATGACTAGTGGCCTTAGGAGGTTGCTCGTGGTAATAAAAAGAGTGTTTTGAGGAAGCCATGAATAAAAAGAGAAGGGTTGACCGTTGATGAAAAATCAAGTTTTGTAAACTTTTGATCTGACCTCTGGAACAGGAAGGGGAGAAGCCGGCGAGAAGGTCTGTGCAAGTCGCGACGGAAAAAAAACGTCTGGAAGGCGGCGCGTGGTGGCGCGTGCAGCGGCTGACGGCGATGGGTCCAGCGGCGGTCGACTCGTCGGATCCTTCTGAGTCGAATGGTCACCTCACTTTTTTGATCGGAGGTCAGTAAACTAGGTTTCTGTGTTGGACAGATTCAAGGCGGTGTTTAGGAGGTGTTTGACGGTGATGGAAGTGTTTGGATGGTTATTTCAGATTTGAATTAGGGTAGGAACGAACCCGCTCTGATACCATATTGAAAAGAAGTTTTTGTATATTGATATTGAATAAATTACATGAGTGAGTATTTATACAAGAAAGAATCGCTAAGAATGACTAAGCGATGACTAATCAATCCTATCACAATCCTAATTAATAGGAAATAAAAACGGAAACATGTTTGAATTCTAATTTTCTACATTACTTAAAATGTTACTGTACATTCCTGATCTCCTTGATTTCAGCTTTTTTTTCACATGTGGAGATAATGTAGAGTCCCATTAACTTGTAATAAATCCCAGTGAAAATTAATCAGCATCTTGGATGAACTTCTGTCTTAACCACGCTTTTTCCCACATGATGAGATTCCCCTAGCTGTACCCAGTTCATGCATTAGGAACCACCCCAGTAAAGGACTACCCGATAGCTTTTAACATTCACTTAAGATTTAACTTCCAGTTGGGTTTCTTTATTAACTTTATCTTACCATTCTTTATTAAATTTATTTCTTTCCTTAAAGGAACTTTAAAAGCTTACTATTTGTATGGAATGGATGTTTGTGGTATTCTAGACCTTTTTTCCTTGTCATTTGGACAAAAGGGCGGTGTACTATTTGAATCTCCTGTCAAAAGCCTGAATTAGGTTATTCTCAAGAGCATAGATTAAATAAATGGATGAAGTTTGGTGGACATGATTAATGTAGACACCTCAGGCTTGAACCTTAAACGTCAAAATATTGTATGGAACATGTATCTTTAATGCTCCAACTATTTTGCTTGTATTAAACTCACATGTTACTATTTACATTGTTGGGTGGCTATTTTCCTAGATTTTTTATGAATATTGGGTGTGCCCCCTTCACTTTAAAATTCAGCTTCTCATGGTTCATTTTAAAGGTTTTCGTAACAAGGACAAAATTTTGTGGCAGTGTGCAGTTTATCCATTTCTCTAGTGTATTTGGCAAGGTAGTTAATGCTACATAATGGTGCGGTGCCGACCCCAAAACCACTAAGGCGGTGTAGTATAGCAGTGTGGAGTGAGTGACTGCTAACCTCGCAGATAGCGGATACAATGCAAATAATTTCTAATACACATATAGTGGATGCTCAACTCAAAAAGTATTTGAAACTTAAAAGACGTTTTCATCATGCACACTCTTAGCTTAAGACGTAATCACTATTAATATAAAGCATAACTAACAACAATAAAAAGCATAACAAAACAGAGGTGGGCTCGACCAGCGCAGGGAGTCCAGATGCCGAATCAGGGCAAGAAGCTGTGTGAAACAAGTCCGGGCTGGTGGGAACTTGCTGAAACAAGGATGGGCTACTGGTTCGAAACTGAAACTACGATGGGGACTTGCGTTTGTGAGGTCAGAAGGCTGCAAAATCCCTATGGCTCTCTGTGTGCGATGGTTTTGTGCGAGAAACAACAGAGGCTGCTAGCCCTAACAATTGGTCTCTATGTGCAATGATGGTTTTTTTATCCTCCCTCACCATGTGCTTTCCCTCATTTCTATATTTTTTTTCTATCTTTAAAAAACTAAAAATACAAGTTAATTACTTACCTGTGGTCAAATTGAACTAAAATAATATATGGCACCCAGAATTTTGGGACATGTTGATTTGGCCAATGGAGTTCTTAGGTGAGAGAATGGACCAAAGAAGCATGGTTTTGAGTACAGTTATGAATACTGTATCTGACACTGAATGGCATTCTTTAAAAAATTAGGATGCATTGATGGCAGCATATATTGAATAAAATATTAAAATGTGTCCATAATCATAAAAATAAAATATATACTTATAAATTCAATAAAAAATGTTAGATAATATATCATCAATTTAAAAAGCTAACCAAAATTTAACATGTGCAAACATCTGGTGGGCTTCAAATGAGTTTCAATCCATTCTCTGTCATTTTCTACATTTCTTATTCATTGTTCTTGTATCATGGGGCTGGTAAATTTAAATTATTAAGCAATGGTTTTCTTTTCGGTACGACTCCTCAATACCCCTTTCCGGGATGTACTAGAGTTTATTTGTTTTCTTTGGGTACTGACTTTCACTAGCAACATGCAATGTATTCTGATTGCTCCATATTTTCTCTCTATTGAAAGTTTTTTTTCTAGAAGAATATTTTAGTGCCATTTCTTGCACGTTTTAAATTTAAAGAGATTATTGTTTTTTAATGCTATTTATTTCTTAATTTTACTAGTTTTAACTTGGGTGATGAAGAACATCTTGGTTTTATGTTAAAATTGGAGAAGATTCACTGCTGTAGTTATGTTTTACTTTAATAATTTGTTTACTTTCTTTGTTCCAGAGGAACTTTGTTGAGAGTATGGCAGGATATTCTCTGGTGTGCTACTTTCTGCAGGTGTGAAACCTCTCACTAACTAGTGCTTTTCTGAAGTGAGAATTTGAATGATAACATTTTGCTGTTTATTGTTATTGAATGCTGTGTATTTTTCTCACTTCTCTTTTTGCCTTCTTGTCATCTAGGTGAAGGATAGGCACAATGGGAACCTCTTATTGGATGAAGAAGGTCATATCATACATATTGATTTTGGTTTCATGCTTTCTAATTCACCTGGTGGTGTTAACTTTGAAAGCGCACCTTTCAAATTAACACGGGAGCTTCTTGAGGTAAAACTGAGATTATTTGCTTTTTATTATGCTCCAGTTTCCATTTGATCGTGTATTATATTTTTTCCATACAATGATCCCAATAATGAGGTTGTGCTAGGTTATGGATTCTGATGCTGAGGGTGTCCCAAGCGAGTTCTTTGATTATTTCAAGGTGCTGATGAGATCTCTTTCTGATCTTTCCTTGACAGATTGCAGATGACATATACTATTGTTAGCTCTAAATTTGCCATGTTGCTTTGTCCCCTGTAATCCAGGTTTTATGCATTCAAGGCTTCCTTACTTGCCGCAAGCATGCTGAGCGTATTATTCTTCTTGTTGAAATGTTGCAGGTAATATGAATGTTAGCTTCCTGTGGTTCAATGGTAATCTAATATGTAGTCTGCCTGTGTTCATGGTCCGGTCACAATATTTACTTCCAATTTCAAAACAGGACAATGGGTAGCTAAGATTATGCTTTTGCAAACCATCCACTGACTGAAAATTTCTCATTATATTTACATTGAATCCTGCAGTCCTTTCTGCATCGTAGTGTGTGATATTTTTAGACAATTAAATACTCACATCTCATGCAAAGAGCAGCCAGCTAACATGATTTCTGGCGTGAATTTTGTTGATTACGTTTAGTTAAAAACTGAAGAGTGTAGTAAGAGACTACCAGGACAATGAAGTGCTTAAGGATCTTTCCATACTCATTGGACGTCTTTTACCCACAAAACTGGAATAGAATATACAAGATCCATTTCTTTCTTTAAAATCATAATTTTATTAAACATTTTGTTTCGGCTGCATATAAAGATTTTTCTCCTCAAGTCGAGGTATGATGGGAAGTGGCTTTTTTATTAAATATTTTGTTTGGTAATTTGGGAATAAGAAAAGTCAGAAGAATGTACTCTTTGGCAACTTGTGATGAGCCAGCCTTTGCATTTCTTGAGTAAAAGATAGTAAACATAATCTCTGATGATATTTTCTGCCGAGGGCAAGGCAATGTACAAGTAATTCCTTTTCAAGGTGTAGTTGTAGGAGGGCAGGTATTTGTTGTTGAAATTTTTTATTGAGGACAACAATCATAACGAGATTCTTAGTAAATAAATGATACATACATGTTCCAACATTTGTTTGTCTTTTACTAAGGAAAAGGTGGATGGCAAGTATCTTCCATGAATGTTGGCCAATTGAATTACAGTAGTTGTTTTGATGGAAAATGAGAGAGACTGTTCTCGAGCATGGCTTTAAGACCAAGTTTGACGTGCCGTGTTCAAAATTGAACAACGCAGAAGGCAGAACCCCCTAACCCCACTCGACACACATGCACACAAAAAAAACACACCCTGGCCCATTATTTGTGAAACAAGTTTTGCATATCCGCATCTTGTAGATGATGTTTGATTGTAATCTTGTAGATTGCTTCATCTAGCAAAATGACCCCAGGTTTCACTTATTTCAAGTGGTCTTTCTTTTGATGGTCTTGATTCTCAACTGTACATGAACCGTTGTGTACCTCTTATCCCTTTTTTGGCATGTGTGTGGATCAGGAAATACTCTCAACTTTCATGTTGGATTTTCCCTCAACCTTTCTCTTATTTTTTGGTAATGTTGGTATCAGGATTCAGATTTCCCATGCTTTAAAGGTGGTACACGGACGATACAGAACTTACGAAAGCGATTCCATCTCAGTTTAACAGAAGAGGTTTCAATATGAATGTATAACCCTTTTTAACTGCAAAATTTAATGGATTTGATTGTTACAGTATTGTATTTTTTTTGGCAGCAATGTGTCTCCTTGGTGCTTTCGCTTATTAGCAGTAGTCTGGATGCTTGGAGGACACGGCAGTATGATTATTATCAGAGGGTTTTGAATGGAATATTGTGAGACAACTTGTCAATGGTGACCACTTGATTGTTCCATTTTGACCAGGGTTTGCACACTGAGGTCTGGTCAGTGAGTATTGTATTTATAAGTCGCTGGAGGGAGTGGTTGGTTCACTGTAGAGTGGCTTTAAAGTTTTTGACTGAGGGAAGAGTTAATGGTTGGCAGCATGCAGCCTCTTTTCCTCCCAGTAGGAGGAAGATTCTAACTGGGAAAAAAACTTCAACAGAACACCAGGCTAAATTTACTGAAGCCGGTTTTTTTTTTTTTTTTTTTATTTCTTTTCCCTCGTTTCATGTGGATGCTGCTTGGAGAAGTTGCGTTTACCTCCTAAATGCTGAGAGATAGTGCACAGTGTATATTGATTTTAGCATGATGGACCACATTTAAATTGGCTGTTGAGATGGGTACTGGCTAAAGTGAATGATTCATCCATGGTCTTTGGGGGTCTGTTGAAAGTGTTGAGCAGATGTTGACCTATTACAATTAATTTGAATGATCGTATGGAGGAAATCATGGACAGACCTCCAGTATTGGCGAATTGCTCTGTAATTTATTCCTGATCTAAGCTGTTCAATGGCGTCTATCTTCTCAGAGTTTATTCTTCAATACTTTGCCCGGGAAAATTGCGATCAAAATTCTTTGATGATGTTTGATTGTATCATGTGTACTTGACCCTGTTTGATTTCACGGTGAAATTTGTTTCACCTTCATATCAATCATGTAAAATATCCAAGGTTTGGTGGTATTTTGTCTGGATCACAGTTTTCACTTTTCCTGTGGAATTGAGTAAATTATCTTTGTGGTCAAATGTGATATTCGGGAACTAGAAATTCTTGCATTAAACGAGGTTAATAAAATTGACATATAATTAACTATGGTAGTTAATGACTACTTAATAAATTGTGATAACTGATTATTAATTAATATGTGATAATTTATTGATAACTAGAAATTATTAATTATTATCAATTAAATCATTCGATATGTCATCTCCTAAATGAGTAGGCATCTCTTCTATAATTTCATCATCACTGAAGTTGATGTAATCTATTGGATCATCATCCATATTCAATAAGTCATCTCCCAATTCACCAGGTATGTCATTCCTAATTTCATCATTTAAGTCATTGTAGTCCGGATGCTCATCCATAATATACCTACAAATTTAAAACCAAGAAATCGTATGTGTTCAGTGTAAGCAAGGTAAACCAGCTTTTGCGAAAATTAGAAGGAAAATTGCTATCCTACAAGAAGTTTGCCTGTGATACAAAAGCTTCAAGAAATGAGTAAGTTCTTAATACTTGAATTTCTATCTCTACTCAATAGAAATAGCACATACCAAATTCAGCTTTTAAGTTATACTTCGTTGAATTTTGTCCATGATAGGGACCCATATGAAAATAGTCTAGAATTGCAGGAAGAATGGTAGGGAAACAAACAAAACAGATAGACATGGAAGAGATTTTGTTATTATTCTATTATGCAGAGAGAGTGTGTACTAGGAGAATATCTCCCTTACAAGGGTAATGTCCTTACAACTGAGAAATCTCAGTTTCCAAACTGTTATTCCATCCTCATCCTGTTCTGTACAACTTGGGCTCTTTAAGCATAACTCTTCACTTACAACTGTTAACTAACTAACCCACTACCCATCCTAGCATTTATTGTCCCATGAATACACCTTAAACTATATTTTTTTGCTGAGTCTCAGGCCTAAATTTCCATGAACTGTTACACTTATAAGTTATACCAAGAATATCTAAATATAGCAAAAAGGAAGAAATTTTTTTAAAGGATTATTGCTATGTGACTAGTTCAGTGAAAGTGGGGGTTGATATTTAGGTGACATGAGGCTGTAAATGAAATCATTTTAAATTTTATTTGTTTTCTCGAATGGAAAATAGGTGGTTGTGTTCTTTTAGTTATGGTTATCTAGTTACTGTTTATTTTGTAGTAATTAGACATAGCCAATAAGCTAAACAAAGAACAAAGAACCATAAAGCAGCCAATAAGCTTTTAGGAGGGGACTTGTATACAGCATACGAATAAAGAAAAATAAAGCATTTTTATGATTAAGAGCAGAACAACATAAACTTCATACCTGTGGTTATCAGAATAGCCAAAATGTCCAAAATGCTCCAATGGTAGTAACAAAAGCAAAGAAAATAGCCAAGAATCCGCCAACAGCTGCCAAAGATATAATCAAAGAAAATTAATACAAGCAAGACGCAGAGTAGAATACGGTTATCGAAACAATAAAAAAGAGAGCATAATTTTGGTTATCGAAAAACATCAATAAGGATACAATTCAGTTATAATTTTGGGTTCTTGGTAAAACACCACCTTCTGTAAAAGAGGAGAAAGTTAAATTGGGATCGGAGGCGCAGAGTAGATAATTGGTAAAATACCACCCTCTGTCCGGCGGTAGAAAGAGGATCGTTAAACTAAGAGAGGGTTTGGCGGCGGCAAGGCGGTGGAGTGGGCGGCGCGGTGCGATGCTGTGGAGTGGGGCGGCGGTAGAGAGTACAATCAGATAGAAGGGAAAAGAGAAAGGGTTGATCAAATCAGGACCGTCGGATCAAAATATCAATTTAACGGTAAGATTAGCTGGTAGTCACATGGTAGTAACTCTACTTGGTTGTCACAATATCTATCCCTTCCAGAAATTGTACCATGATTTTTGTGTTGTTGCTCTTGGTTGGGCCGGGGCTAGACCCTTGCTGCTTGCTTTCCTATAAACCCTTTTATATTAAAACTCTCTCTCCTCCGTTTCAATTCTTCACATTCGCAGCCAACTTAGAGAGAGAGAGTGACTTGTCGAGTAAGCTGCTTCTCTTATACCCTCATTTCGTTTTTTTTTTTTTTTTCTGTTAGGAAACGAAAAATCACCTCTCTCAGACCTTCGATATTTCAATATTCGGCTTTCTCTCTTTAACAAGAATGTTTTTTTTGCTGCGAAACTTCGTCGTTCGTTCCGTCTCTTAATCCGTTTTGATTTCCGTTTTAGGGTTTCATTGCGCCGATGTCTGTTCACCACGGAATTGGAATTTCGTCATCCTTTGTCGGGTGCCATTCCTGTTTCATGAACCGGGGGAGGTTTTGGTGTTCATCCAGGATCTTGTTTCGGCATTGGACTTGACACTTCGCTCGCACTGCACAGATTTAGGGGTTTTTTTTGGGGGGTGAATTTGTTATTTTCTTTCGATTTATATAACTCACTTCATTCATTGGTGAAGTAATAGTCGTTGTAGGGGTACGAGGTTTCGATTGATTTTTTTTTATTTTTTTTAAAAGACGTAGTTTTCTTCACTGCCAGTGAGGACTTTGTTTATTGGGTCAGATAGAAGGCGAATCTTTGATATTGTTTTTCGATTCGATGGCAATAACAAAATTGATTCCGGGATTTCGGTTCCATCCCACTAGCGTTGAGTTGGTTAAGTACTATCTAAAGAGGAAGGTAATGGGGAAAAAGTTCCATAACGATGTCATTACTGAACTTGACATATACAAGTATGCTCCTTGGGATCTCCCAGGTACCCAGACAAGTTCTGTAGAGAGTAGCGTGTGAGAGTGTGTCCATTTGTTTGTTTTTTAACAATGTTTCCTTTTGTGTTTGTTTTACAGATAAATCTTGTCTGACAACTGGGGATTTGGAATGGTACTTCTTCTCCCCGAGAGAGAAGAAATATGGCAGTGGGGCCAGGATGAATCGGGCGACAGAAATTGGGTATTGGAAAGCTACTGGGAAGGATAGAGCTGTTCAACAGAATAATCAAACTGTGGGGATGATAAGAACTCTCATATTTCACACTGGTAAAGCACCTCATGGGGAACGAACGGATTGGGTTATGCATGAGTACAGGCTTGAAGATAAGGACCTGACTGAAAAAGGAATTGTTCAGGTACCCATTTATTTCTTAATTCTTATGGATTGTTAAATTTTTTTATGAGTTTTATTAAGGAAATATATGGATTAGTTAGTTGTGAACTGTTGGGTATATGGCAGTTTTGTAGAATTCGAGCCTTTGACTTTGAAGGCACATAAGGATGTGTAGTATTCTTGCCAATGTTGGCATCTGTTACACTTTTAACAGATAATATATGACTACATTTTAATATGCCGTGCCTACTTGCCTTGCCACTCATTGAGATATTTTCTGTTTGTATATGACTGAGTTAGCAGCCCTTCTCACATTCTTTATATTATCTGTTGATTTTCACATCTTGTTATAGTTGTAAATATATTTTAATTAGCTCTCCTGATGATTTTTCTATGGCAGGATTCCTATGTAGTTTGTAAGCTATTCCAAAAGGAAGGTCGTGGTCCCAGGAATGGTGCACAATATGGGAGACCGTTTAATGAGGAAGACTGGGATGATGAAGAAGTGGGAATACCTTTTGCTGCTTTGCCTGCCCCAGTCCCCATTCTGCCTATGACATCTAATAGTTCTGTTCCAAATGACAAGCATCTCCCTGCTAATGAATCTATTGGGTCAACATCGAGGTCCTGTCTAACAGGATTATTGCCTTCTCCAAGTGATCAAACTGTTACCTGTGATGATGATATTTTATCAATGAATGATCTTGTCAAAGAAGATAACGGATTGCCTGAGGTTTGCTATCTATTTCTTCTTCTTCTTCTTGCTTGTGCGTTTATTTGGGAAATGCTATGTTTTTCTTTCTATCTTGTTTTGGGGTTCCCTATTTGTTGTAATCACTATGGCTTTATCCATCCCTTGCATTTTGCGTTGTGTCCTCATAATTTGTTACTATTTGATTGTGATGTACGTTTGAGTTTGCATTATGCATGGTTAATGCTATATGTCTGTGAAAAGTGAATAGATTCATGCTACTCTGGATATGTTGTCACATGTAGTAGACGTCCTACTCTTTTCTACTCTCTCATGTTATGCTGTAGTGTAATACTTCTATCATATGCTAAATGCCTTTGCTATCTAGTCCTATGATTTTTGGGCCAAGTGTCATCAGAGAATCTGCTGAATTTTTTTTTGTCTTAATTTGGTTTTAAATGCTTTCTTTATTCTTTGTGCTTAGTTCATGGAAGAAATAAACTAATAAGCATAGAATGTTTTTACGAGTTTTCCATCGCTCTTTTTTTATTTAGGGCGGGGGTTGGACTTGAGTTTTATTTAGATTTTCATCTTGTAACCTATTCTCCTTTGCCAATTTCTGTAGCTTGCTGTTAGGCATAGACTTAAATTAAAAACCAGGAAGACTCAATTGTTGATCAATTGAAGATATTAATCACGTCATATAATATATGAGATTTCTTCAAATTTATTGAATGGCTTTTTATCTGAATTTTAACCCTATAATATATGCATAATCTGTCTTATAATATCTTGCTGTATACTCTCATTTCTTATGTAAACTAATGATTCTTGTGGGATAACAGAAGGTTGATAATCCTGGTCGGGGAAATATTGCTGAAGGTGCATCTTCAAATGACTTTTTTCAGGGACTGGGAGACCTGGATTACTGGGCTAAGTTTGATGGTTTCTCCTCTGACCACAATGCTGGATTTAGCACAAACGGAATGGTTACTACGGGCGATGTCACGGGGTTTGGCGACTTGGAGTTCGTCGAGTTGTTTGACCTTGACTCTCCATTGTGGGCAGACACAACCTAAAAGCTGGAGTCGAGATAAATAGATTATTTTGGGTCTTTGACCAGAATATTTTCAGACTAATCTTTGGGCATTGTGCAACTAGCTAGAACGCCCTTCCAACTCCTTGGATTTTATGTGCATTTTTCATATTAAAACTTGACAAATTCAGTTTATTTGAACAGATTCATTTCTGTAATATGTCAGAGGTTCAGGTAAATACCAAAATAAACTATTTGTTGATATATTAAAATGAACTTTCCCAAATAAATGTTCAAGTAAAACATAAACAATTAATTCATAAAATTCAAACTTTAAAAATCACTTAGTTTATAAAATCTTTCTAAGACTTTCTTTATACAACTATCTACATGTGTTTCGCTCATAACTTTTCCATAGCTGAAGCATTTGTCTGTAAAATTTGCATAAAGTCTTATAGCATGCTTTCTTTACCTTGTCATTTCAGTTGTATGTTATTCTTGTGGTATAACAGAAGGTTGATAATCCTGGTGATGAAAATATAGCTGAACGTGCTCACGTATAAGTGATTTTTTTTAGGGCATGGCATATCCTGACAACTGAGCTGTGCATTGGGTAATTGGGTTGTTTCCTCGTAGGCCAGAGTGCTGAATTTAAAAAATACGAAGTAGGTAGTATTGGATCCATTCCCTAGTAATAAAATCTGTTAAAAATCGTAAACAAAATTTATAGTGATTTGAGTATAATTTGTGCTTACATTTATGAGTTCCTTTATTTTATTTTGAGCGTTTAAATAAAATAAAATAAGTTAACCTTTCCAAACTATATTTTTGGACGAGCTGACTAATGATTTTGCTCCACTAACCAAGCGACACACTTTAGCAATTTTTTAAACCCCCTAAACGTCACCCACACTATTCTTTTGCCATTGAATCATTCTTAATTTTATTATCAACCTCTGATTTTAATAAATTTTCTTCCCTTTGGTTAGATTGGAAAAGTTATATTTACAAAATTTTTATTTACAAACTCTTATAAACTAGTACATTCTAGCATACAGTGTACTACTCCTAGTATATAATGTAATTAGTAGGAGTTTGTAAAAAAAAATAATTATAAATATAACCCTTCCATGGTTAGATATACAAACATAAACAAACTCCTAAGTCAAGTGGATGAATAAATTGGGGTTTCAGCAGTTCTGTTATTGAGTCATGACAAATAGCCATCCTAATCTGGTCTTTGTACTCGTTTGTTTCAGTAACTTCTTAGGGGTTTAGTTCTTTTGTACAAATTATGTCTATTGGGATCTCTTTCACTGGTTTTGCATCAAGAAGTTCTTCAATTCCAACTCCTATTTTCCTCTATCAAACACCACCAAACTAAAAAGTAATGTTGTATAGGCCATCTCCAAACCTATATTTCTCATAACTTATTTTGACATATGGTCATTTATAAATTTTCCAAACAATTAAAATCTAATTACAATTGCTGATTCAATATAGAATGAAGTTTGTTTGCTTTATTAACACGTCTCCTCTTCCAGCTAGAATATCCCCCCAGCAATCAGCATTGGCGGGAGCTTGGCTCCCAATTTTTTTTTCACAAGAGCAGAGCTGTAAACTGATTATTCGAGTTGCAACAGAAGTGACTCAATCAAAGTTGCAAACCTTTGGCCGCAAATCGCATAACAAGAATAAATTGTGACTTGTGACTTGTGATAACTTATTACCTTCGGGAAAATATTCCTTAGCCTAACTTGCATGATTGGTCCGCATTCTTAGCAGATTCAATAGGAGCTTCGAGCAGTCAAATCACAAGGTAAGCAAAAAATGAAAGAGGAAAAAAATCTCCTAGAAAATTTGATACCATTTAGTCATGAAGCTGCTAAGATAACGATCCTACTTATCTAAGTTATTCAGTATAGATAATTCAGAATCTCTCACCTAATTCCTACTCTACACAGTAGAAAATGACTAACAGTGGTACCATTTATCTTGATTCAATGGCATAAGTTTCAGAGCCTCTTAAAAATGATCGGCGCCACCAAATTTGGAATGCCTTGCTTAGATTTGGGCATTCAGTGCCATGCCTTGAGAAATGCCGAAACCATTCCATAAACAGCACGTTCTGTTGCTTTAGAGGTAGAGTAAGAAGTGTCTGGCCCATAGCCTCTTCCAATGACCTTATATCAAGCCCTTTTCTGCATCTCTGAAGCCAACCAAAGTCAAACAGCATTGGTCCAAACCATGCCTGGAGAAGCCCCGACCTAGCTTTCAACCCACATTGTAGTTTTCTTGTACCAATGGCAACAAATAGAATTGCTGACACTCGACTAAGTTCATATCTGATCATTGGGGATGCATTTTCACGCATTTTAAGAAGTTGTTGCTGATCTGCCCATATATGCACAAAGTCCTCTGCCACTTGCCCATCAAGCATAATTTCCAGCAACCAGTTGATGTTATCAACCTGTCTTGAGATGCGCTCAATCAGAGGCTTACTCATGTCTTTCCTCATCAACCTTACAGGAGGGGTAGTTTCAGATGCCTCCTGAAAGAGGCTGATAAGTGAACCCAGACATGAGTGGCAAACAGAATATAGATCCTCCTTGCTGGGATCAAGATGGTTCTTCTCGTAGACAGAGCTTTTGCAAAGAAGACCCTTGACTAGTGACTTTAGTTCATTTCTTGCATTGGTATCCTCACAAGTGCTGATAGACCAAACAAGTTGTCGGGCTACATTTGGCTGGGAATCTACTGAATCATGAAAGTACAGTCTTCCTAGGATGTCTCTTGTTGCTGCATCATCAAACTTAAATCTTGTGAATAGGCTCCTTAATTTCTCTTCTTCCTCCTCAGTCCAAGGAACAGCCTCAATGTATTTCAAACAGGACGTAACACCCTTAGTGAACATGATACCTGCCGAAACCTAGCAATATATCAGGAAAACCTTGTCAGAGATTAAAGAATCGCTCAAGTTAAATTAAATGTATTCTAAATTTGTTCAAGTGCATCATCATAAAAAATCTTCAAAGTCAACCAGAAACATATAAATGGATGTAATTTACACTAAAAATAAAAATAAAAAATAAAGTAAATATACCAGTCACAATCCAAAAGAATGCAAATGATATTCTTAATATGGTATTCATAGTTATACTTAATGCCACAAACAAGCCAAGCGAAATGCATATGAAGACAATTAGGGCAAAGGAGACACGCTATGTTAAGAAGACAAGAAGATGAAAAGAAAACCTAACAATAACCCAAATGCAAGACAAAAAAATGTAAGACTAAGAAAGAGGAAAATGAAAAGAGTGGGAACCTCCAAAATGTCAATGGATCGATAAACGCCAATTTTCTTGAGCTTGTTGGTAACATGATCTTCATCCTCAAACATAAGCTCAATGGTGTCTTTGAACACGCCCAAGTTCTCCACCTCCATTGTGGGTCCACCCTCTTCCTTCTTGTAATTCGCTATCAAACCCGCAAACACCGCCGAGTTCGCACTCAGAACCTCCGAGTCCACCTCCACAATCATGTACCCTCCATTCTTCCCTCGCAAATTCAGCCTCACATCAAACGCTTCCTTCACGGCGGAACTCTCCGGCGGCGGTGGCCGGAGATTCGGGGTGGGAGCGCGGAAGCTGTTAGATCGCAATTGCGGCGCGGATGGAATGTCAATGTCTGCGGTGGGATCGGAGTCGATGGGCGAGACTCTTCCCGGAGACAAGATCCGGCGCGGGTCGATCCGGCCCACAATGGGGAACCCGGATTTGGCGCTCTGAGGGGAGTTAGGGACTGAGACAGAATGCTTTGAGAGAGTTTCGGATTTGTGACGGGATTTGGAGTGATGATGGATTGAAGGGTTGTCGGGGCTTGACGGAGGGATTCTGAATGAACAGCACCATGCTCGCCGGAGAGGCTTCCGGCCCCGACGATCCATGGAAATTGGGTAACTAAGGTACTAAGGTCACCAACAGTGAATATATATATCTATTGTTGTTTCTGTACGACTTGGAGGGCATTTTATTTTTGGGTTTTACGATTGTTATGTTAAGTTTATGTGGGTAAGTTTATTATGTTACATCATAAAACTCTTTATTTTTGTTGATAATTGTGAACTTTTGGACTGTTATTTTAGTTTGTCTTGTTTTGGGTGTATAATACGAGGAAAATTGATTCCTAGGTTTCTCTCCTTTTTTCAGCTTAATTTATAAGTTTTTAGCATTGTTTCGATATTTATCATTCTTGTCATTTGTATCAGTATCAGGATTGAGGGCCTCAGGCATGTTATTAATTTATTTAATAAATATTCAAAAATTATAATTAGAATGTGAAAAAAAACTAAATAAATTGAACTCAATCATGAACTAATCCATACTTTATTAAAAAAGTATTTGTTCAAAATCAATTCGATTCAAGAATCAAATTACTTTATGTTTCGTTAACCGAATTTTATTCACTTTTTTAAGTATGAAAAAACAAATAAATCGAATTACATTATAATTTTTTTAACATATATAAAAATCGAATATTTTTTTTGGAGCCGAACCACTTGTGGACTGGACGCCCTTAATCATAATATCAACCAACACTATTTTATTTGATTGAGGGATTTGAGTTGGTATGTTTAGAGTAGAAGCGAGACAAAAGTGACAAGTGAAGCAGCCATCAATAGCAATAGCAATAGCATCATTCTAGGAAAAATGTTAAAAAGTTGCACAGCTTGTGTGCTTTCTGGCAAATGGCAACGCCATCCAACAGCTAAAAGACAGAACCAAGCGCCAAGCAAGGAACCTTTTGGCATTTGAGTTTAGTTTAGTAAAGTAGTGCTTCAGCTTTCTCCTTTGCTTGTTTCCCAGGCAAGGCATCCCCTACTTTCTTATTCCAATTCAATCATCCATGCATTCCACTTTTCAATTCAAGGATAGTAGTACTGTATCTTTCTAGTTTCTATTTCTATATCTTTCTCCTGCTCATTCGCTTCGCGTTTTATCTAACACGATTCGGGGATAACACAGTGCATTAGATTGAATAAAAAATAATTGTATCGATTCCCTCTGTTATTTTTAGAATGAATTTAAATATTTTCATTTCTAATTTGTTCTGCACTTCGAATTAATTTCAGAGTCAACATTTATGAAAATACTGGAGAAGCCAACTAATCTTAAAGAAATAATTAAATTATGTTAACTCAAAAAAAAAAAAATAATAATTGACTTCAGTTAAGAAAAACACCATCATCATAGCCTATGATAGGTTACGTGATGATGAGCCAATATTATAAGAAATTTGGGAGTCGCATCTTTATAAACTGTTAGTTTTTTTGGACTACCCTAGATGTTAAACCAAATGCAAATAATTATGGCATGCAACATTTAATTTATAATGTTATTTTCTATTATTTTCACATGATCAATAGGTTCTGATTTTTTAATATTATTAATATAACATTCAAAACTCATTTGCCCCTAAACTCTAAACTTAATATTAACTTTAAAAAGATAACAATGTCATGAGGGTAATACGTAAAAGCTATACAATAAAACTATATAAATGAATCAAATATATTAGAAAGCAAACTACAAAAAAGCCTGTATCAAAACGGTCCTGTACATTACGTTTTCTTCTCAAATCAAACACGTTAAAAAGAGTGACAATTTATAAATTGCTCTCTGACATACCGTCTCTCAAAACGGTTCCTTAGGTGCCGCATTGCCATGCATCATTTTGGCCAATTGTATTGTTGTAAAATTATACAGGTCAAACGTTCATAATTTTGAATTATATAAGTCAAAAAGTCTCATATCTCCTTATGGGCTCATTTTCGCTTGGGCCTATATAGAGAGAGTACTACTGTCCAATCCAACAGCTCCCAATTGAAAAATAATGCCTCGTGTGTAAACATCAGTGAAAACACAAGAAAGAAAATGAAGAATGAATGAACGAGAAACTTTGAGAGAGACATGAATGTGTCATGACATGCAACAGAATAATCGAGCCCAATACGAACAGAATATATTATTACAATGAAGCCATCCATCTAATAATCGAATCAAATCAAATCCTAAGTAGAGACAGTCACGTGCATGGTGCTTCTTCCTATGCTTATGAGATCTTACGTCCACATCAACCGTGATACGCACCATCTCGTGCGTACACGTTTATCCCCTTCGTATATATGAATTGACGTGTTCCAAACTCATGGCGGTGCCGTTATAAGTACCAACCAGCAACACGTAAGTTCATTCAAATTGTACAAAACAAAACAGCTTTACTCTTTCCCCTTTTAGGAAACCATACAAAACACGTTTGCATGACCCAAGGGGTTTTCTTACATTCTCTATTTGTACGATGTCACCGTCAAGCGCCATCTGTAACATCATCCCCGCTTCATCCGCGCCACGTGCACCCTACCTTTTTCTACTTGCCACGTTGCGATTACGTGGTCAACCATCTCAGGACAAAGCCATCACTAAGACCACCGTGGTCGTACGTACCCACTTCCCCCAACCCAACTATATAAGGTGCCAATTCAATTCGCATTGTTACTTCCTTCCCCAGCAACTTCTTATGATTGATAAGATAGTGAGAGAATTCTACGTTTAGATTTTGCATCTCATTATAATAATATCAAAAAATAAACAAAAAAAAATGGAGGCAGCCATGTTACCCATTGAAAGGACTTCATCAATTGAAAGAGAGCCCAGAACTCTCACAATCGACCAAATTCAATCCGCAAGAGTGAGTAGCAGTTTCTTTCATTTCCTTTTTTTTTGTTTCTTTTTCTTTATATCTCTTTGATTCATATCATCCTTGTTATAACTATATAGTTTTTGGACTGGATTCTTCGACGATTATGGTTGATGTTATATACATAATTAATTAGTATGCATGGGATCGATGTTAATATTGATGCATTAACAGGATTTAGCAATATATATATTGAAGACAAAGACCATAGAAGAAGCGTCCAGAATTTTCACCGAGGTAATTACTTCTATCCCTTATTTACCAAAATTGTAAGGATTTGGCAGTTTTTGATAATGGAAACCAAAGAATATATATATTGCGGAATATGATGGGAATTATTAGTTGTACTGATAATTAAGTAATAACCTTAATATATATATATTTATAATCCAGCAGAAAAAAGACTACGAAAATTATAAAATTATCACGGTTAATTGTGATTATATATGTCACTATATGGCCAAATAAATTTTTGTCTGTGTTTCCAAGAAACATGGATATTGAAGGATTTCCGCAATTAATTAATTTATTTTGGCAGGGGTTGCAGCCAGTGGTTAGTGCTGCTTGCCGCATGGGATCCAATACAAGGATGGATATGGATTCGGGTGAAGAACTGGAACTCTTGAACTTGAAAGATGCAGCACGAGAAGCACCCTTAAGGGACATAGCATCTGCACCTTTCTAGCTAGACGAATTGAATAACTCAATTGGTTTCATGATGATCTTGTTGTATATTGTAAAATACGTATATGGGATGAAATTTTGGGTTTCCAACAATTTTATTTGATTCATTAATCTTTCTTGGATGCTTTCCATTTCTTTTTCTTTTTAATTTATGGAAAATAATGTTTGGCTGTTTAAAAGTGCTTAATTATGTTTTGGTACACGCGACATGACATTATAAAATAATTGGAATCGATTATGTATTCAATCATGATAGGTTTGGTTTAAGTGGAGCAATATGATTTGTCACTTGAAATTGATTTTTAGTTAGGTTTCCAAAACTAAAAGCTAGTTGCCTAGCTAACGCAATTTCATCCCTAGTGTGGAGGGACTCTTCTTGGTGTCAAACAAAGATTGGAAGAACTAGCGGGAACAGTTCATAACTTAGCACTGTAAACAATAAAAAAAATAAAATAAAGAAGAGACTCTAGTTGGAGTACTTGAGAACATGCTGTAAGACTAAAGTATATATAAATTAACTCTCTTCGAACTAAACTAAATTATGATGAAACTTTTCAAATTACTAACTCTCTAAATGTGTACAATATAACTATGAAAATAAAATAAGAGCGTTAAACATTATATAATTAATGAACACCTTTTCTTTCAGATACACAAAAATAAAATAAAATTGTAAATTGACAAGCAAGTGTGTCAACATATAATATGACACATCTCAATTAGTGATTTACTTCAATTCAATTTAATTAGTATCTCCCTCAATGATCAAAATTTGTCGCAATTTTTTAAATTAAATACACGAAAAAGTGTTTGTCATTTTAAATAACATAATCTTATCTCACTTTAAGAGAGAGATAGACACAAAATAAATTTTTTTATTTAAATTTTAAATTAAAAAAAATATCCACTTTCTCTTTCCCATGATTTTCATTTTATGTGTCTTTTCTCTCTTAAAATAACAAACATCAAGCTCTTAAATATAACTATTTTTTGGTAATTAAACAAGAATTCAAGAGTTAAACAATAAACATGTTTTTCATTTGAAAATACAAAATAAAAAAATTGGATTGACAACTACCAATTAGGCTAGTATAAATAATGTGACATCTTTATTTTATTTTTAAGAAAAAAATTTGGTATCCAAGAAAATGTTTTTTAATTAACAATTACATTTAGGAAATTTTATAACCTATTACAACCGCTTTTTTTTTTATAAACATTATAACTGCTTTCATTTGTAATCGTCGATCTGATTTTGATCAATAATCATAAAAATAATTATAATAATAGGTTATAAGATAAAAGATGTTATAAATAATTAAATAGGACCTCCCTTTTTCAAAACTTATACAACTGCATCTCAACTACTTTTCAAATTATGTTTAAACTTTTCAAATTATATATTAAATGTTTAGATATTTAAGTAACATAACTCTTTTGGATAATTAAACGAGACTTCAAGAGTTATCCACTATATGACAAACGTGTTTTCTTTCTAGTGGAAAAGACAGGTACATGCCTGTCAATATTCTAGTACAAATAATGTGTCATCTTAAGTGAATTTACTTCAATTAAACTTAGCATACAAAAATTTAAATGGAAAACGTGTATATAAATATAGAAAAAAAAATAAATAGAACTTTGATTTTTTTTATTTATTTTTTTGATAACAAGAACTTTGATTTTTAATCAAAGGGATACGTGACTTCATCAAATAGAGTATTTAAATTCACTATGACTACATGTTCAGATCTTTCCTGTTGTGTACTCTTGCTTTTCACAAGAAATAATTGAGCTTCCATTCTCAACAAACTCGATGACTTACACTATTCATGCATCTCTATTTAAAAGCGGAATCAGAAGAACGAAAATAAAAATATTGTATTATAAATTTTTTAATACCGAACATGATAATTTTTATTTAAAAAAATAGAACTTCAACAATTATTTTAAAAAATAAATATAAAAATCAATTGATCTATTTTTATTTAAAAAATTAAAAAAATAAAACTTCAATGAAAGATGAGCAGAAGAGCACTTACTCTAGAGTTTAAGATGCAGAAGCATAACATATCAATGGATAACTAATTAAGCAACATATTATGAGGCTTGTTTTCCAAATATGATACATTAAGAAAAAAAAATAATAATAATAATAATAATATGAGGCAAGCTTTCATTCACACAATCTCAGAGTAACATAAGAAAAAATAAGAGAGAACTAACAAAATAATAATAATAATAATAAGTCGAGAAATTTACCTTCCCTACAAATAAGACGGAAACATAAGTTAAAGAAATGAAAATAAAATTTTGTTGAGTTTCTAGAAAGCTATGTGAAACTACGTACAGACCTGTACGTGGTATTGAAAAAAAGAGAGTTGTGGGTTGAGAGATTTGGGAAAGAAAGTGGGAGAGAAAATCTAAGCCCAATCAAGAAGAAATTTAGCACTATCTTTTGTTGCTGAATTGTTGTGACTGGGATGCTTTACCTTTTTTTTTTTTTAAGTGGTTTTCTTTTGTGATTTGAGATAACAATGACATGCGTAGAACTAGTTAGGTGGGGAAATAAGGGGATATGGTTTTTTTTGGGAAATATTTAATGTACACCCACACCGAACCCAATTAATTTGGGATAAAGGTGTTGTTGATGTTAATGTTGATATTGATTTAATGTACACCCCGTGCACAAAAAATGCAGTGAGTCAAGCCAATAAAAAATTTGTATTTTTTGAAAAGTTTGTATAAAAGAGAGAGAAAACAAATTTTTTTGATCCAAGTGTCATCCGATGAATGGGAGGCCCATATGTTCCAGGTGCACTAAAAATGTCCTTTTATTTAGGAGTTTTTATTTATTTTTTAATTTGAAGGGGGTTAATTTTTAATACAAACTATCTATATATATATAATAAAAAATAATGTCAAATTTTACAAAGGAGCAATGACCAAGAAAGCATCAACACATTTTTTGAAAAATATTTGCGTGTCGGACACCGATATGCGATCAACATTTTACGACATGCGGTCAACACTCCGACATGTGTTTTCAACACGCGGTCAATTTTTTCGACACGTAGTCAATGCTCTGACACGCATCTGACACATTTTTTTTTAATTCTAAATTTTATTAACTAAAAGTGAAAAATTAATTTATAAGTCAACTTTTTTTCTATTATGAAATCTGATATAAAAAATTAACAAGGTATAAAAAATTACTTTTGCTTTATATTTATGTTATAGAATTTAAATATTTGATTGATTATATAACTTATTATGGACCGTTATATGTACTAAATATAAATTATATTTTATATATTAAGGGTAAATGATTTTTCCAGTCACCGGAGATAAAATTATCTCCAGTGAGCTCAAAACGATGTCGTTTTGGGGCGAAAATCAATGTATTTTTGTAATTATAACATATTGCAGAGTTATATTAGTCTTTATCATTATAATTTTTTTAATCTTATAACCCAAAACGATGTCATTTTGAGCTTACTGGAGAGTTTTATCTCCGGTGACTGGAGAAATACTTTTCTTATATATTAAAAATATTATTTAATATCAAAACATGCCCTAACATATCAAAATATGATATTTTTTAAAATTAACGTGTCAACCTATTATATCATATTATGTATTATGTCTCGTATTAATTTCGGTGCAAGCAACTCTAACCACCCGCCTATGTAGTTAAAGAAATACACTGAAAAAAGGTCCAAGTAGAATGCGGCGCTCTCATTCTCATTCACCCCTTCTCTAAGTAGGAGCCAACGATTAAAAACAAGCAAAAATTGCATTCACACTAGTGTACGGGGTCCAATTCATGCGGAAAGCAAAGATATGTGTTGGTAAAGTATAGGTATAAATAGTGATAAATTTGAGGATGAAGACTAAAATGAAGGTTTAAGGAATATATATCATATTAAAGCAAACCAAAAAACGTACAAAAAAAAAAGTAGATTCATAGGAATGACAATATAGGTCAACCCGACACCATACGAATTTAAAATTGAGTTAAAACCTTTAATACGAACACGATCCGCTTATTTTGTGAGTTGACACGATACGACACGACATGATACGAATAATCTATTAATTCCAAACGGTGTTACTTATTATGCAGGTCGACACGATACTATAAGACATGAATAATCTGTTTACGACACGACACTACACGACAAAAATAATATATAGAAAGATTAACGCGGGTCAATTTTGACTTCGCAGGTTAACACACGACACCATACAAACTTTTGTAGGTCAGTTTTTGCTAACTCAAATACTATACAAATTTGAAAATGTCTCGATTCAAATACAAATTTTTTGTGTTGTGTGAGTAGATTGTGTTAAAAACTGCCATCACTAATTCGTCTGATTATTCTGTTGTGATTGTATAATAACTATTACGTTAAAACTATTTTATTTGGTTAATTATCATTTAATAATAGAGTTAATTTATTTTTTATTTTTTTAATTTCAATTTATCAATTGCTTAATATATTTGGTTCAAGCCTTCAAGGTTTCTCTAGGCATTATAAAAATCACCACATCCTCTAATGTATTTATTGACATCTTATGTGAGGAGATCTAATCATGAATAAATAAAACGAATGTTGTTTCTCATGTTATATGGGACAATATATTTTATGCAATATATAAAAAAGTAAGTGAGATTTACTTATTTTCTTTCTCTCTCTTCTCATTAGTAGATTTCACCCATTTTTTTGTGTTGCATTAAATAATTTATCTCATGTAATATAAGAAATAATCCCCATTAATCAATTCTAATAATTTTCTTACTCTCAATTCAATATTTATTTTCTTTCATCTCTCATTTATTAATTTATTCATAAATAATTAAATACATTCACATAATTTAATCATGTGGAATTTATTAAAAAAAAGTGTTTCAAAACTTTTTTTTCCCATTCCATAGCTCGTATTCCTGAACTATGATCAAGATAAAACTCTTATCACTTTCCATTTCTTTTTCTTTATAATTTATGGAAAATAATGTTTGGCTGTTTAAAAGGGGGAAGGATATTGTGACAACCAAGTTGTGTTACTACCAATTGACTACCAATCAATCTCACCGTTAGATCGATTATGTTGATCCAACGGTTATATTTATTTCCATCTTTGTATGGTCATGATTCCTTATATTTAAAGTGAAAGCATAAAATATAGGAAATCATAACCATACAAAGGTGAAAATAAATATAAAGTATTAAATTTGGGGAATCATGTCCATACAAAGATGAAAATAAATATAACCGTTGGATCAATATAATCGATCTAACGGTAAGATTGATTGGTAGTCACTTGGTAATAACACAACTTGATTATCACAATATCCTTCCCCGTTTAAAAGTGCTTAATTATGTTTTGGCACACGCGACATGGCATTATAAAATAATTGGAACTCAATTATGTATTCAATCATGATAGGTTTGGTTTAAGTGGAGCAATATGATTTGTCACTTGAAATTGATTTTTAGTTAGGTTTCCAAAACCAAAAGCTAGTTGCCTAGCTAACGCAATTTCATCCTTAGCGTTGGTGTCAAACAAAGATTGGAAGAGCTAGCGGGATCAGTTCATAACATAGCACTGCAACCAGTAAAAATAAAATAAAATTGAGACTCAGTTAGTAGGAGTACTTGAGAACATGCTGCAAGAGTGATTACTAACGATCAAAATAGAATAAAGTATATAAATTAACTCTCTTCAAACTAAACTAAATTATGATGAAACTTTTCAAATTACTAACTCTTTATATGTGTACAATATAACTATTTTAGATAATAAAATAAGAGCGTTAAACATTATATAATAAACACCTTTTCTTTCAGATACACAAGAAAAAAAATTGTAAATGGACAAGCAAGTGTCTGTCAACATATATATAATATGATTAGTGATTTACTTCAATTCAATTTAATTAGTATCTCCCTCATTGATCAAAAATTGTCGAAAGTTTTAAAATTATTTACATATTTGAATATAACTATTTTTTTGGTAATTAAACAATAATTCAAGAGTTAAACACTACAAATCTACAATAAACATGTTTTCATTTGAAAACACAAAATAAAAAAAATGTGGATTGACAACTACCGATAGGCTAGTATAAATAATGTGACATCTTTAAGTGATTTTATTTTAACCCATTTGTTTGAAACTTTTTTTTTAAAGAAGAAAATGTTTTTTAATTAACAAATACATTTAAGAAATTTTATGATAATTAGATAATTTTTCAATAAATAAGGAAATAAATAACATTTTTAGTAATTCTCTTAGAAATTAAAAAAAGAAACTTATGAGATAAAAAAGTTTTAAAAATTTATATATATTTTTTTTTTCCAAAACTTATACAACTGCATCTCCACTACTTTTCAAACTACGTTTAAACTCTTATATATAAAACCGCACAAATATAAAAGATTAATAGGTGTTGTTTCGTTGAGGATATCTTGAAATTTCCTTAACTTGGCAAAACATAATGTCTTTTTGGTAGAGAGATTCATAAAAATTTGTTCATCTATGCCATTTGTATAACATTTCTCCATTTGGTTTAGAAAGCTAGCCATTTGCACTATTTAAAAAGATAAGTTAGACGTGATTTTTTGAGGATAACCGGCTAAATTATAAAATGAAAAAATAAAGCAACCGAAAATACCCTCCCGAAGCGCTAAGATATTATCATAATAGCAACTTTTACGGGTAAATGGTAGCATCTTGATTCATTTCAAATTTTAAAACAGGGTTATTTTCGTAATAGTAACTTTTTTTCCATCTATATTTTACTTACAGTCAAACATAGACTTTATAAATGTTACCTAATTTTTCCGATAAATTTTTTTTCAACCAAACAATTTTTTTTACATTTTGTTAGCAAAAGTAACTCCCCTCCATTTCCCTATAATAACATTTCCCCCTTGTTCGTAAAATTTTTCGTGAACCAAACGCCCTTGAACTCCTATGGTGTATTATTTCCATCATCTTGGAACAACAACATGCATTCCTTGTTGCTTGTGGAACCTCTCACTCTTCCACCCCGAAACCCACGAATTGGCGCTACCACCAACCGAACAAAACGACGTAGCTTGTCCCTTCAACCCTCAAACTCCACCCACCAGTACCACCCACATCAAAAAGTCCCTCACTTGACCCTTTATGATGAGCCACTGAGTTCCACCACTTACGCTTTGATTCTTGAATCTTGTGGGTCCCTCGGTTTGGGAAAACAGGTTCATGCTCACTCCATTAAAGCTGGGTTTCGTGGGCACGAGTTTGTTGAAACCAAGTTGCTTCAGATGTATGGTAATACCGGCTCCTTTGAGTGTGCTCGCCTGTTGTTCGACACAATGTCCCTTAGAAACTTGTATTCTTGGACTGCACTCCTGCGTCTTCATGTTGATATGGGGTTCTTCGAGGAAGCGTTTCTTCTTTTTAAAGAATTGCTATATGAAGGAGTGCGAGTGCAATTGGATTTTTTTGTGTTCCCCGTGGTGTTGAAGATTTGTTGTGGTCTTGATGCATTGGAGCTGGGTAGGCAATTGCATGGGATGGTCTTCAAACATGAGTTTGTTACCAATGTTTATGTGGGCAATGCTTTGATTGATATGTATGGTAAATGTGGGAGCTTGGATGAGGCCAAGAAAGTTCTAGAAGGAATGCCCCAAAAGGATTGTGTCTCTTGGAATTCTATTATTACTGCATGTGCTGCCAATGGGATGGTATACGAGGCATTGGATCTTTTGGAAAATATGTCTGCGGGTGATTTAGCACCCAATCTTGTTTCTTGGAGCGCAGTTATTGCAGGATTCTCGCAAAATGGTTATGATGTTGAATCGGTTGAACTACTCGCCAGAATGCTAAGAGTAGGGATGAAACCAAATGCTCGAACGCTGGCAAGTGTCCTTCCTGCTTGTGCCAGGATACAATGGCAAAGGCTTGGGAAAGAATTGCATGGCTACATCATTAGACATGAGTTTTTCTCTAATGCTTTTGTTGTGAATGCATTAGTTGATGTGTATAGAAGGTGTGGCAATATGAAAAGTGCCTTCAAAATATTTTCCAAGTTCTCAAGGAAATGTACTGCATCTTACAATACAATAATAACTGGTTATTGGGAAAATGGAAATATCTTTAAGGCCAAGGAATTGTTTGATCAGATGGAGCAGGGAGGTGTAGAGAGGGACAGGATATCATGGAATTCTATAATATCAGGGTATGTGGACAATTTCCTGTTTGATAAAGCCTTTGGCTTGTTTCAAGATTTACTGAAGGAAGGAATTGAACCCGATTCTTTCACTCTTGGAAGTGTCCTTACTGGCTGTGCTGATATGGCTTCTATTCGACGAGGGAAAGAGGTACATTCACAGGTCATTGTCAAAGGTCTGCAGTCCAACAGTTTTGTGGGTGGAGCTTTGGTAGAAATGTACTGTAAATGCCAGGACATAATGGCTGCTCAAATGGCATTTGAGGAAGTAACTGAAAGAGATGTAGCAACTTGGAATGCTTTGATATCTGGCTATGCCCGCTCTAATCAAACCCAAAAGATAGAAGAACTTCTCCAGAAAATGGAAGGGGATGGTTTTGAGCCAAATGTGCATACATGGAATGGTATTATCGCTGGCTATGTGGAAAATAAACATTACGATTCAGCAACACAATTGTTCACTCAAATGCAGATTTCAAATTTGAGGCCTGACATTTACACAGTTGGAATAATTTTAGCAGCATGCTCCAAGTTAGCTACAATTCAACGAGGAAAGCAGGTCCATGCATATTCCATAAGAGCCGGGCATGACTCGGATGTTCATATTGGAGCTGCCCTGGTAGACATGTATGCGAAATGTGGGGGTATTAAGTATTGCTATCTAGTTTATAACAGGATATCAAACCCTGATTTGGTGTCCCACAATGCATTGCTCACTGCATATGCCATGCACGGACATGGGGAAGAAGGAATTGCTCTTTTTCGCAGAATGTTGGCTGGAAAAGTGAGACCAGACCATGTAACTTTCCTATCAGTTCTTTCTTCATGTGTTCATGCTGGATCAATTGAGATAGGTCGTGAATGCTTTTCTATGATGGAAACATACAATGTGACGCCCACATTGAAGCATTATACATGTATGGTTGACCTCTTGAGTCGTGCAGGGAAGCTCAATGAAGCATATAAACTTATCAAGAACATGCCTATGGAGGCTGATTCAGTGACCTGGAGTGCACTGCTTGGAGGTTGTTTTATTCATAGTGAAGTTGCCTTAGGTGAAATTGCAGCAAAAAAGCTCATAGAATTGGAGCCGTATAACACTGGAAACTATGTTATGCTAGCAAACTTGTATGCTTCAGTAGGGAGATGGCATTATGTCGCTCAAACTAGACAATTAATGAAAGATAAGGGGATACAGAAGAGTCCAGGGTGCAGTTGGATAGAAGATAGAGATGGGGTTCATGTGTTTCTTGCTAGTGATAAAACTCACAAAAGAGCAGATGAGATATATTATATTCTGGATAATTTGACTAATTTAATTAGAATAAAGCATAAAAGTCAATTATAACATGATTCAATTAACATTACATGCAGAAATTTGCAACCTTCGTATACATGGACCAGAAAATTTTGATTTTTCAAGTATGAATTTTCCTTCCTTGTACTTGTGTGATGCATCATAAGCTCTTTCATACCTCCAATCCAACACTTGGCGGGAATCACCACAATAAACATGACCCTACGAGGCTACGACAATATTTACTTACATAGGAGAACATAAAAGCACGGCCATTTCTTGCCTGGTAATAAAAGTTAGTATGAGAGGAATATCAGACAAGGATCTGGGAAATTTTTACTGAGAGAGTTAAAACTGAAAGATAAGTTTCATCAACCAAAATCCCGTAGTTAAAGTACACATGTCTATTTACCAAAAAAGAAAAAGAAAAAAGTACACATGTCTAGAAGAGAAAATACCTTCTTTCATCAACCAAATCCCATACTGTTATTGTCTTCCTAATAAAACTTATGTAATAAAATAATTTGCTGTGATAATTAACCTAATTCCATCATCATAACAACCCCAACCCCCATTTGTATGTATAAAATAACTGTGACTGTCTTTATTGGAAAATTGATGGGAAATATGTCTTCAGTATTCACAACCTCACGACCACCAACAACACAAACATTCTGGTATCCATTAAACTCACTACTCACTAGAATTAGGCAGTTTCATCTGTCATTCCAAGCAATCATTGCATTAAACTTCGATAAATAATAAATTTATCAGTATTAATATATAGTATGGAATTGAAGTGTGAAACTAATACTTTTATTTCTGATCATTTAAAGAAAAATAATGAGTAACGGACCAAATTTCAACCATAGGATTGGGAATAAAGGTATCTATCTCTTTCTCAATTTTGAACTTGTGGTCTGAATTTATTGCAGTTCATAGGGGTTTGGCTTTTAAAGTGGAATCTAGTCATATTGATGATGGAAAAACAAACTTCCCTGCTTTGTGATCTTATAGAAAATATGAGTTCAACTTTTTTTCCCTCCTAGAATTTCTCTTTAGCCCCTCCTTATCACAAAACAATATAATTGTGATCTTAGCTGTGCATCATTAAATCTTGCTACCACTTGACCCTTTTTTTTTAAAGAAAAAACAAATGGAGACGGAAGGTTTGAAGGTGAAAAACAAAATAAAAAACAAAGCACGATCCATTTTGAAGGAGATTTTTCAAGTAACATTTCTTTAGCGCTGGTAGCAAACTAGCCAGTAAAGAAGAGTAAAGGGAAGGTGCAAAGGTTTCAGCCATAATAACAAGAGGCATATCTTTAGGGAAAATAATAACGCATTGTCAAGTATGGACAAGCATCACTTCTTATTTTTCTTTAAGCTTGAATATTATAATTAACTTTCATTATTTCTCATCACATGCATTACAATGAAAATAGTCTATCAATTTTTCATACTTTATGAAGATCAATGAAATTATTACATTTAATTTTCTAAATATTTATATGCAATGCTTTGGCTGCTACATAGAGTGGAGTGAACGAGAACGATGAGGGTCATTACATACAAATTTACAACATTTCAGATATAATGATCCCATCAGAGAAAATTCCATTTAATCGAGCAGGGAAAGGGGTAATCACACGTTTATACTAACAACTTTATCTAAGCTGATGGCACTCAAGGAGTAGTTGAGTAGCTTCCTTTCATAGATAAATCCTAGGAAGTAATCCTCTAGGGACCACTGTCTGGTCTCTGGGACCAAACATGCCACTGCCTCTCTAACCAGTACTCTTGGAGTTCCTATTCTTAACTACTGTTTTTCTTACCAAACGAGAAAACAACAAGTTCAACCAAAAAATAGAAATGAGACCTACTAATTTAACCATTTATCGCAAACACTACTGCAACATGTGTCCAGAGTAGTTAGCCCGTTTAGCCTGGACAAGATCCAACTCACCGTCTCTCCAATACTAAAGAATTTATCAACACTAGTTGGAAGCATTCTTCAACTATACAGTCTCAATATGCAGTCTGCTCAGCGTCATAATTGCTTAAATCTCTCTGTATACATGAACACTCATCTCATCTCTGTCTGTATCAATATTGCTGCAAAGGCTTCAGTTTTCTTATTTATTCTTCTTGCCACCAGCCAGAATGCGCTGGATTTGAAGTCCTCGGCTGAATGCTTGGTTGTATAACAGCCTAGTTTGGAATTCTGAAACAAACGGGAACCAAGCTAATATGGCCACAGGTGCAAAGATAACCACTCCCATCACGGATTCATACCCTCTCGATAAAGCTTTGACAGACCCCCACATTCCAATGCCCTTCACCAATGGTCTACATGCTTGAGCTATCTGCTCATACATAACGCCAGGCAAATCAGAAAGAAGTAATTTTACATTTACGGATAAAAGCAAAAGAAATCATGCGGGAAACTTCTCTAATAATACCAAGAATTAAGAAAGAGAACTTAATTTACTTGATTTTGAGTTCTAATATAAACACAAATGTTGTACATTTCAGTAAATTAGACATAGCCTCGATAAATGAGCCTTATGCTCAATTCAGCAACATGAGACAAAAGATAAATGATTAAGCCAGGGGGTAATGACTCTAAAAACAATGTACCAAGAGAAATCATAAAGGGCCCAATATACTGCTCGGGTCAAATGTTCTGGGACACAATTAAGGTCAGGTGTATTTCAGCATCATAAAATGAATGAAATATCCATCAAAACAAGAGGTAATGACTATTAGACAAGTACCTGTACAAGTGCCCAACCTGTTGGCATAAAGGCTAGGAGGCTCGCAAAGATGTCTCCAACGGTGAGACTAAGTAGAGTAAACATCAAGATTAGAGCAGCAACGGTTCCAATAAACAGAAACAATTTGAGGAGACGAAACATTAGCTGAAAATCTGCGCTGAACGTCTTTCTACCCATGGACACGATCTGCAGTTTCAGATGCAAGCATGCCAACAATTAATTAATAGAATAATTATCAAGCTCAAGCATAGAAAACGCTTTAATTCATAATGAACTATTTGATCATTAAATACAGACCTTCAAGATGACAATGACAGCTACTATGACTAGCCACGACAGACCATAGACCTGGAGAGAAGATGCATGTTAGAAAAGCTCTTCTCTATATATACTCCCGTGTCAGTCATTTTATTTTTATTTTCTATTTTGTACACCAGGGAGGGTGTTCTTTGGTAAAGGACTGAATTCTCCTATAACCTAGGAACTTCTGTCTAAAATGCGTATTACAATATAGTATGTATAGAGATATTAAAGCAGTTAAGCCCTGAGGTACTGATTCAAGAGTTTGAAAGAAAACATGAAATAAAATAAAATTAGCAAGCATAATTACCATGATGCTCTGTTCACCTCTGGTTACATGTAGATGATACACAATCCCATACTGATAGACAAAGAAACGGAGGGCAAGAATGATCTCCCAAATCCGCCCCCAAATCCCAGTGTGCTGCAGATGCTCCTGCTCCTCATCCCACCATGATTCCCAACTCTTGTTTGAAGGAACACCAATACCACCTCGACTACTTATCCATTTTGTCCAATCATCCCAATCCTCAACTATCTTCTGCCATTCAAATCCTGATGGATTAAAAAGGAAAGGACTAAACAAAAAAGAACATACCAAAAACCACATTGACCATGAGAGAAGGGTATATGCTGTTGAATCAGGAGTTGCTGATCCATAAATCCTATAACATATAAGCAGCACAGCGAGCTCTAACCCTTTTACAAAGTGACTCCTAGAGTACATCCTGTAATTTTCTGCAAACTTCTCATGTCTAACTACAAAACCACGCCCGGTTGCCCTGTATTTTGCCCCTCCATGCAAGAGAGTGCGCCCAAAATAGTGCATCTTCGTCCCTAGTGAGAAAGTGAAGAAAACGGGTGCGAGCTGCAGCTGCATTATTATGAGCTCACCTATAGCAATTCTGAACCCTCTCTCTAGTCCAATTTCCATGATCATGGGCAGAGTCATCAGAAGACCTATTTGAACAAGGGATTGTGAAGCCATTGCTGCCTTTAATGGATTGTCTCCCTTTCTCCTAGCTAACTTAATTATAGCAGTCTCAAGTCCACTCAATGACAGGTAAAGTTTGCCATATAGGAAAGCATAAACCGTGAGGACTACTAACTGTGAACAGCAGAAGAAAGCTTTAGTGCTAGATGCAGGATTAGCTAATTAAGCACAAAAAAGACAATTTAAAAGATATGTAACCAAGAAAATCATATAGCTCTCATAAGAAATTGCTAGCTCTTAAATGTTTAAGTGATCAAATGATCAGAAATTAATTTCCATATCCATTACATTTTTTTTTTTTTAAATACATCATTAGGTTAATTTTCATATCAAAATTTCCTTAAAAATTTATGGCTTTTTTGTAAAAGATGTTCAGTATTTTTTTGCTTGATTCTAAAGTATTAAGCATTACCATTGAGCTGATGTAAAATCCAACGGTTGTAAAATAAAATGATAGCATGCGGAAAAAGTCAAATCGATGCCCCAGCCGGTAGATATCCCGGCTTAGTGTTTGCTCCCCGTTACCACAGGCCACTTTTGCTTCAAAAAGAGAGATTTGATTGAGGCCAACATCTCTACCCTTTCCAACTTGGATATATTCATGATGAGTGATATTCCCACGTCTTAGTGTTGAGTTGAATCCTGTATAGGCAAAGGCATATGATGCAGATATAGAAATATCAAATATCACAGCTAAAAAAGATATATCAAGAATGTTACCGGCAAATATATCCTCACTAAGATTGATGCCACGAGAAGCCTTGCTGATTCCTCCACGGGTAAAATGGAAAATTCTATCAAAAACATCTGGATGACCATAGTGGAATCGAACCCTACACTTGAAAAAATATATTATAAGCCACAAAATTTATAAGTGTTCTATGTATTTTAACTCTTGCTTATCTAGCAATAATAGCTGAAGATAGTGAAAAGAAAGATCCAATAGTTTACTCATTATTGTCTCCAAAAATTCAAATAGC